CGTTAAATAGAGGTTTCACTATAGACTGTTACATGTTGCTAAAGTTTTGGGCCAACGGGTTAACTTTGATGAAATTCGTTCTTATTGCGTTTGTGTTTCACTAGGGCGGGGATTATAGGGATTTGTGGGGATTTATTGGGATTTGCGGGGATTTATTGGGATTTGTGGAGATTTATTGGGATTTGTGGGGATTTATTGGGATTTGCGGGGATTTATTGGGATTAATGGGGAATTATTGGGATTTATAGGGAATTACAGAGAATTGTGGGAAATTATGGGGATTTGTGAGGATTTATGGGGATTTATGAGAAATTATAGGGATTTATGCTGAATTATGAGGATTTGTGGTGAATTATGAGGAATTATTGGGATTAACGGGGAAATATGGGGATTTATGAACGTATTTATATATCACTGAAATCCCTCTGTACAGGATTTCAGTGGAGGGGATTACATTGGTGAAGGATTATGTAGTGCAGTAGAATGTCTACAAGTATCTATATATAACTTTATCTAAGGCATTACATACAGACAGACAGACAGACATACATACATACATACATACATACATACATACATACATACATACTTTGATCACACGTTACAGCAGGAGGTAGGAGAAGGTTTCCTCTTCTTTGAGAAAATTGGATAGGAAATGACATTGTCAGTTGGGGAATTGTACTAACAACCCCTCTCTCTCTCTCTCTCTCTCTCTCTCTCTCTCTCTCTCTCCTTCGTCAGGTGGCTGTATGGAGACTTCGGCTGCCAGTACTACGCCTTCATGGGCTTCCTGATGGGGATAGCCAACCTGACGACGCTCCTGATGATAGCCCTCGACCGCTACCTGGTTACCTGCAGGCATGACCTCCGTGAGTACCTGGTCTACCTGGCTTCACCTAGTACTACCATCAGTTTGGGTTAGGTTAGGTTTAGCTTCGGTTAGGTTAGGTTAGGTTAGGTTAAATCAGGTCATTAAGCATATATCACAACGACCCATTTACACTTTCAACACACATCCAATCAGTTTCCTCATACAACCTCGTTCCCAGTACAACCAGACGACCAATTCACCTCCCCCTCCCCCATCCCCCGAATCGTGTTTACATCGAGGTTCATTATGTTACGTTGTGTTGTATCAATGAATCAACTGGGAAAAAAAAAACAATTATAATGGACAATGTTATATAGGCTAAGCTGAGATCATCCTGGGATAACAAGACTCTGAATAAGCTAATTGTGTTGTGGTCTTTGTGTGATGCCTCCTCCCCCACACCCTCCTTCCCCCACACTCCCTCCTTCCCCACACTCCCTCCTTCCCCCCACACACCTCCTCCAACTCTCTCCCTCCCCACACTGGGATCTGACAGCATTGGTTGGTGACTATCTCGTCTCAAATAACTTATAGTAGGTCATTAGAAAGTAAGTAGTATGGTAGTAGGTAATGGTTGTGGGTGTTGGTAAGCAGAATAGATCATCGTCTCTGGTAATATTGTGAAAGTTGACTGTACAGGTAAGTAACAATTAATAATACTTTTCCAGGTGTTCATATCTCATTATCATACTAAATAATGTATAAATATCAAATAAGTATGATTTCTATTATACTATTATGATAATCTACCATCGTTATCGTTATAGATAAATAAAATAAAATTATTAAACATTAATATTCAAAGACGAGTTGTTGTTATGATGTGACGTCACGATACACTGTAGGCTCGCTGGCGTGACGTCACAATGTTAAATTAATCCCGGGGAATCAACTAAAGTTATTTATCGGTTTTACATACATCATAAACTTATTTCTTGATGATATTAATATAAATATATTTTTAATTCATTTACTTGGGGGTTTAAGGGTCAATAAAGGTTAAAATTGGGTTAATAAACAGGACTGGTAAGAAGAAAAAAAATAGTGGGATTTTTTTTATTTTCCAGAAACAAGTCTACAAAATTTACTCCATATTTTTCCCCTAAGTTCAGTGCCCAGATAGGAATGGAGGACAGAGAGAGAGTGTAGATAACGTTGCCATGGTTGCCCCTCGCCTCAACACAGACTTTCGCTCTGTTGGTTTGGCTAGGAGCGTGGTGGCTAAGAGTACAGTGACTAGGAATACAGTGGCTAGGAGTACAGTGACTAGGAGTACAGTGACTAGGAATACAGTGACTAGGAATACAGTGGCTAGGAATACAGTGGCTAGGAATACAGTGACTAGGAATACAGAAGTATAGTTAGATTAGACAGAGACAGATAGACAGACACACAGACAGACAGACACAAACAAGACCTACAGTACACGAGGCTCAGTAGCATCACTATCTATATAATTATGGCAGATACAATTAATTACTGCACATAGATATTGATGGTAGGGTATTTTCACGTCACCTATCTATCTATCTAATCTATCTAATCTATCTATCTAATCTATCTATTCTATCTATTCTATCTATCTATCTAATCTATCTATCTAATCTATCTATCTATTCTATCTAATCTATCTAATCTATCTAATCTATCTATCTAATCTATCTAATCTATCTATTCTATCTATCTATCTAATCTATCTACCTAATCTATCTAATCTATCTATTCTATCTATATATCTAATCTATCTAATCTATCTATCTATCTAATCTATCTATCTAATCTATCTAATCTATCTATTCTATCTATCTATCTAATCTATCTAATCTATCTAATCTATCTATCTAATCTATCTATTCTATCTATCTATCTAATCTATCTATCTAATCTATCTATCTAATCTATCTAATCTATCTATTCTATCTATCTATCTAATCTATCTAATCTATCTATCTAATCTATCTAATCTATCTATCTAATCTATCTAATCTATCTATCTAATCTGTCTATCTATCTAATCTATCTATCTAATCTATCTATCTAATCTATCTAATCTATCTATCTAATCTATCTAATCTATCTATCTAATCTGTCTATCTATCTAATCTATCTTCACAGCACCACTAGACACGTCATAAAACAATAAAAGAAATTAATTGTATCAAAAAATAACTCTTGCCCGTTTCCTTGTGTTTTGGTTAGGTTAGGTTGTGTTTTGGTTAGGTTAGGTTGTGTTTTGGTTAGGTTAGGTTGTGTTTTGGTTAGGTTAGGTTGTGTTTTGGTTAGGTTAGGTTGTGTTTTGGTTAGGTTAGGTTGTGTTTTGGTTAGGTTAGGTTGTGTTTTGGTTAGGTTAGGTTGTGTTTTGGTTAGGTTAGGTTGTGTTTTAGGTTAGGTTAGGTTGTGTTTTGGTTAGGTTGGGTTGTGTTTAGGTTAGGTTAGGTTGTGTTTTGGTTAGGTTAGGTTAGGTTAGGTTGTGTTTTGGTTAGGTTAGGTTGTGTTTTGGTTAGGTTAGGTTGTGTTTTGGTTAGGTTAGGTTGTGTTTTGGTTAGGTTAGGTTGTGTTTAGTTAGGTTAGGTTGTGTTTGTTAGGTTAGGTTGTGTTTAGGTTAGGTTAGGTTGTGTTTGTTAGGTAGGTTGTGTTTTGTTAGTTAGGTTGTGTTTAGGTAGGTTAGGTTGTGTTTTGGTAGGTTAGGTTGCGTTTGGTTTAGGTTAGGTTAGGTTAGCGCTCAAGGTTGTAAAGTCGATATGTTCAAACTGCAAAACCTCTCAACCCCTACCCACCTTCACACACACACACACACACACACATACACACACACACATACACACACACACACTGCCTGGGACGTGTAGTGTCAACTTTAACTCAGTAAACAATAATATTCTCTCAATGTATTGTTCGCATGTTGAGAAAATTTCATTCTTATTGGAAACGAACTGAAGCACCTAAATGAACCACCTAAATGAACCACCTAAATAAACCACCTAAATGAACCACCTATGAACCACTAAATGAACCACCTAAATGAACCACCTAAATAAACCACCTAAATGAACCACCTAAATGAACCACCTAAATGAACCACCTAATGAACCACCTAAATGAACCTAAATGAACCACCTAAATAAACCACCCAAAATAAACCACCTAAATGAACCATGTTGCCTCAGCTAGGAAAGTAGAGCAACAGCGTTAAATGAGTCTATACGGGTAGGAGAAGGTGAGAGATGAGGTAAGGAATCTCATTAACCTGTTTCTCTCAGCAATATCTACAGGAGAGGGGGGGAAGGGGGAAGGAGGGGAGGGGGGAAGGAGGGAGGAGGAGGGAAGGATATCTTTCTAGGGTGTTCTATATCTATATCATAAGTTTACTGACAGCACGAGTATAATTCTATCCAACAGTCATAAATTATCCAAACACAAGTTATGATTATCCAACTAATTTATCCATTCCAATCCCTAAAACCTTATCCAACTTTCACAATTATTTTAACAAACCTCGCAAAACTATGCAACAAACAGCCAAATTAACCACCAAACACCGCCAAACTTACCACTAAACACCGCCAAATTAACCACCAAACGCCAACCACCAAACACCGCAAGAGTACGAATTATTGGTGATGTAAGATGGCAGGTAGAGGGGGAGGGGGGAGGGGGAGGTAGAGGAGGGTGGGGGGAGGGAGAGGCGGAGGAGGGTTGGGAGGGGAGAGGGGGAGGGGGATAGTGAGACAGGAGGAACGGCAGTCATAACATGTGGGATAGTGGCGGTGAGTGTTATATGCCAGCTGGGAGGGAAGACCAGCTGTGTGGGGAAGACCAGCTGTGGGGGAGACCAGCTGTGTGGGGAGACCAGCTGTGTGGGGAGACCAGCTGTGTGGGGGAGACCAGCTGTGTGGGGGGAGACCAGCTGTGTGGGGGAACCAGCTGTGTGGGAGACCAGCTGTGTGGGGGAGCCAGCTGTGTGGGGGGAGCCAGCTGTGTGGGGGAGCCAGCTGTGTGGGGAGACCAGCTGTGTGGGGGAGACCAGCTGTGTGGGGAGACCAGCTGTGTGGGGGGGCCAGCTGTGGGGGACCAGCTGTGGGGGAGACCAGCTGTGTGGGGAGACCAGCTGTGTGGGGAGACCAGCTGTGTGGGGAGACCAGCTGTGTGGGGAGACCAGCTGGGAGGAGACCAGCTGTGTGGGGAGACCAGCTGTGTGGGGGGCCAGCTGTGGGGAGACCAGCTGTGTGGGGGAGACCAGCTGTGTGGGGAGACCAGCTGTGTGGGGAGACCAGCTGTGTGGGGAGACCAGCTGTGTGAGACCAGCTGTGTGGGGAGACCAGCTGTGGGGAGACCAGCTGTGTGGGGAGACCCAGCTGTGTGGGGAGACCAGCTGTGTGGGGGAGACCAGCTGTGTGGGGAGACCAGCTGTGGGGGGGAGCCAGCTGTGTGGGGAGACCAGCTGTGTGGGGGGGAGACCAGCTGTGTGGGGAGACCAGCGTGTGTGGGGGAGACCAGCTGTGTGGGGAGACCAGCTGTGTGGGGGGAGACCAGCTGTGTGGGGGAGACCAGCTGTGTGGGGAGACCAGCTGTGGGGGAGACCAGCTGTGTGGGGGAGACCAGCTGTGTGGGGAGACCAGCTGTGGGTGAGACCAGCTGGGAGGGAGACCAGCTGTGGCGGGAGACCAGCTGTGTGGGGAGACCAGCTGTGTGGGGAGACCAGCTGTGGTGGGGGAGACCAGCTGGGGGGGGAGACCAGCTGTGGGTGAGACCAGCTGGGAGGGGGAGACCAGCTGTGGGGAGACCAGCTGTGTGGGGGAGACCAGCTGTGTGGGGGGCCAGCTGGGTGGGGGAGACCAGCTGTGTGGAGACCAGCTGGGAGGAGACCAGCTGTGGGGGAGACCAGCTGTGAGGGGGAGACCAGCTGTGTGGGGAAGACCAGCTGTGTGGGTAATTATTAGATTAGATAGATAGATAGATAGATACACAGACAGACTAGATATTCATTCCTTCAGAAGAACAATAACAATAACTGAATCCAGACAGCGTTCTCTACCCCCCACCAGCGAGGATAGAGTCTCCCCTGAGCTCGAAAGACACGATAATGGCAGCATTGGGTGAGATAAATTCTTAACATAATGGCCGATTTGCTCACCTGAGTCTTCCCAGGTACGGAACAAAAGCTGAGACCACGGGGATAGTTTGTTGTGGATCCTACCTGTGTTACCTCACCTGGCCTTACCTGACCAGCCTCACCTAACATAACATAACCTAACATAACCAAACCTGATCTAACCTAACCGAAAATAACCTAACTTAATAGTCTAAACTGACCTGACCTCACCTGACCTGACCTAACCTAATCTAACCTGGTAATTAAGGTGTGTCAGTGCTGGTTACCTGGTTTATGGCCACTCCTCTAAACAAGCTCAACAACCAATTAGCACTCCTTGTTATATCTCAAACACCAAACGTTATTAGTGTCGATAATTATAGAGTACTACAGCCTAAAACAACCCTTATGATACACAGACTAACTAATTATATGTTCTAAGTCATTTTAAGGTCATTACTATAAACAAAGGTTAATTTTTCTTCATACACTGATCATAAAACTTGTTGACATTCTATACTTCATACAGGTAAGGCTTCATTTAACAATGTTCAAAACACATCATTAAAAATTAGTTGAGTTAATGATTAAGTTAAACGCTGACCCATAAATTAAAACAGATGATTATTATAAGAAAAAAAATAGTATAAAAACTCATAATGTGGGAAACTATTACATTCCTTCAGAGATCAAACACCGACACGCCGTCACGAAAGACGTCTTAAGAACACACAGGTGAGGCTAGCCGGGTCACCTGCCGGATGAATAACCCGGCAGTGGTCGCTACAATGTAACAACAGGGCTACATTTCTTGGCCCACCTCTCCCGACTTGGCCTCTCCCCCAGCCGGCCCCCGCCCTCCCTCCCCTACTCAACCCTCCCCTCTTACCTCCTCTGACCCGGGTTTGCCTCCCTCCCCTGACATGCCCCTCCCCCCCACCCACCACCCGTGTCAGTCATATGATGGTTCGTGGACACGGGTCAGGCGTGTCTCTCTCCGTCTCATGTTGTCTTATCGCAGACATTCACTTATTCTTTCTTTCTTTCTTTCTTTCTTTCTTTCTTTCTTTCTTCTTTCTTCCTTTTCCCTCTCTCTCAGTTACGCTTTATCTATCAGTCGCACTCTATGATGACCTCTCTCTCTCTTTTCTCTCTCTCTCTCTTCTCTATCGTTGGATTGGGTTGGGTTAGGACATTTATGATACTATCACTACAAGGCAATTACTCTTATCTGTACCTTATTATCCAGGTGCGGTGGCGGAGTGGGTACAGCTCTCGGCTTCAGTCCCCAAGATCACAGGTTCGATCCCGGGGTACAATTTAAGTCCTCCTAACTGTAAATGGGTACCTAACTAACCCTAACAACTACTGTAACTAACCTTACTTGACCAGACCTAACCAAACCCTAACCTAACCTAACTTTACAATTTGGGGAACAGGCAGTGGTCAAGCCAGTGCCAACCATGTTAAAATCCGCCACTGCCTATGGACCTCCCCACCCCCACCTCCCACCTCACACCCCACACCTCTACACCCCACCTCCACACCCCCACACCTCTACCCCACCTCCACACCCCCACACACCTCCACACCCCTCTCCACCCCACCCCCCACCTCCCACACCCCCCCACCCCCCCTCCCACCCCCACACCCCCACACCCCCACCTCCACCCCCCTCCCACACCCCCACCCCACACCTCCCACACCCCACACCCCCTCCCTCCCCCTCTCTCCCCCACACCTCCCCACCTCCCCCCCACCCCCACACCTCCCACACCCCCACCTCCCCCCCCACACCCCCCCACCTCCCCACCCCCCCACCCCCACACCCCCTCCCTCCCCCACACCTCCCCACCCCCACCCCCACACCTCCCCACCCCCCACCCCCACACCTCCCACCCCCCACACCTCCCCACACACCCCACACCTCCCTCCCACACCTCCACACACCCCACACCCCCCACACCCCTCCACACCCCCACACACCTCCACCTCCACCTCCACCCCCACCACCTCCACACCCCCACACACCTCCCACCCCCACACCTCCCTCCACACCCCCACACACACCCCCCTCTACTCTTAATATTAATAGTGTTTTGTGTGTCTTTGATGTCTTCCTGATAATATGTTTTGTTTTCCTCTCCCTTTACGCTGCAGAGTACACCTGGGGTAAGGCTTAATGAGAGAGAGAGAGAGAGAGAAGAGAGAGAGAGATTTCTTTGTTTACATAATTATAATCTTGCCTCTGTTCCTGATTTATTAAGTAGAATTAAGCATAACAATAATAATAACAACAACAACAACAATAATGATAATAATAATAATAATAATAATAATAATAATAATAATAATAATAATAATAATAATAATAATAATAATAATAATAATAATAATAATAATAAAAACAATAATAATTACCATACTATATCACAATAAAAGTATAAGTTAATCTAAGCAGTATAAGTTATAATAAATTTCCTTGAAGCATCGAGCCACAAACAGAAGCTCATTCACACTCCTGTTCGAATCAGTATTGAACCCAAACGAGATACTCCACCTGTCCGGAGCCTCGTTCTAGTGGTTCGGTGTGTGTGTGTGTGTGTGTGGTACTTTCTCCTGTAGCTATGACACCCTACCTAACTCTAACTTCTTCCCTAACCTGACCTGACCCTACCTACTACACCAAAACCCCCAACCTTAACAAACCAATCCCAACTTTCTTCTTTCTTTCTTTATCTTTCTTTCTTTATTTACCTTACGTTATATTTCAGGAGGGAAGATGACCTACAAAACTTACTATCAAATGATCGCCTTCATCTGGCTGTGGTCTCTCTTCTGGTCAGTCTGTCCACTCCTCAGCTGGGCCAGGTGAGTGTGGGGTACAGTTGTGTGGGGTACAGGTGAGTATGTGTGGGGGTATAGGTGAGTGTGTGGGGGACAGTTGTGTGTGTGGGGGGTACAGGTGAGTATGTGTGGGGTATAGAGTGTGTGGGGGTAAGGTGAGTGTGTGAGGGAAGGTGGTGTGTGAGGGTGCAGGTAGTGTGTGTGGGTACAGGTGAGTGTGTGTGGGGGTCAGGTGAGTGTGTGTGTGTGGGCACAGGTGGTGTGTGGGGGTACAGGTGGTGTGTGGGGTACAGGAGTGTGTGGGGGAAAGGTAGTGTGTGGGGGTACGAGATGATGTATGGGGTACAGTGTGTTGTGTGGGGTACAGGTGAGTGTGTGTGGGAGTACAGGTGGTGTGTGGGGGTACAGGTGATGTGTGGGGGACAGGTGAGTGTGTGAGGTACAGGTGAGTGTGTGGGGGTACAGGTGAGTGTGTGGGGAGTGGGTAGTGTGTGGGGTACAGGTGAGTGTGTGTGGGGTACAGGTGGTGTGTGGGGGTACAGGTGGTGTGTGGGGTACAGTGGTGTGTGGGGTGAAATGGTGTGTGGGGTTACAGGTGGTGTGTGGGGTACAGGTGAGTGTGTGGGGGTACAGGTGGTGTGTGGGGCTGGTGGGTGTGTGGGGGTACAGGTGAGTGTGTGGGGTACAGGTGGAGTGTGGGGGTATTAGGTGTTGTGTGGGTGGGGTGAGTGTGTGGGGTACAGGTGAGTGTGGGGGTACAGGTGTGGTGTGAGTGTGTGGGTACAGGTGTGTGTTGTGCATGGTGAGGGTAAAGGTGTGTGGGGGGTACAGGTGAGTGTGTGGTACAGGTAGTGTGTGGGGTACAGGTGAGGTGTGTGTGGGGGTACAGGTGAGTTTGTGTGGGGGTACAGGTGAGTGTGTGGGTGCAGGTAGTGTGTGGGGGTACAGGTGAGTGTGTGGGGGTGCAGGTGAGTGTGTGGGGTACAGGTGGTGTGTGGGTACAGGTGGTGTGTGTGGGGCTGGTGTGTGTGTGGGGTACAGGTGAGGTGTGTGGGGGATGCAGGTGAGTGTGTGTGGGGGCAAGGTGAGTGTAAGTATATGAGTGTGTGGGTGAGGGGGTACAGGAGTGTGTGTGGGGTACAGGTGAGTGTGTACAGGTGAGTGTGTGGGGGACAGGTGAGTGTGTGGGCAGCAGGTGGTATGTGGGGGCAACAGGTGAGTGTAAGAGTGTGGAGGGCACAGGTGAGTGTGTGGGGGGGACAGGTGAGTGTGTGGGGACAGGTGATGTGGAGGTACATGAGTGTGTGTGAGTGGTACAGGTGAGTGTGGGGTACAGGAGTGTGTGGGGTACAGGGTGTGTGGGGGTACAGGAGTGTGGGGGTACAGAGTGTGTGGGGTGTACAGGTGGAGTGTGTGTGAGGTACAGGGTGTGTGGGGTGTACAGGAGTGTGTGGGGGCAGGTAGTGTGTGGGGGGCACAGGTGAGTGTGTGTGGGGTACAGGTGTGTGTGTGGGGGGTGCAGGTGAGTGTGTGGGGGCACAGGTGAGTGTGTGGGGGTGCAGGTGAGTGTGTGGGGTACAGGTGAGTGTGTGGGGGTGCAGGTGAGTGTGGGGGGTACAGGTGAGTGTGGGGTACAGGTGAGTGTGGGGGTACAGGTGAGTGTGTGGGGGTACAGGTGAGTGTGTGTGGGGGTGGTACAGGTGTGTGTGTGTGTCTATAAGCCTTAAGTTTATCACCTAATCACCATAAGCTACTAACTGATCTTTCCTGTGATGGTGGTGGTAGTGGTGATGATGACAGTATAATAGCAATAGTAATGATAGTAATAATAGTAGTGATGAAAGTAATAGTGGTGGTGGTAGTGGTAGTAGAAGTGGTAGCGATGGTTGTTGATGGGGTGTGGTGGTGGTAGTGGTAGTAGAAGTGGTAGCGATGGTGGATGGTGGTATGGTGGTGGTAGTGGTGGTGGTAGTGGTAGTAGTGCTAGCAAGTGTCAGCAGTACAGCTTATGAAGAAGTGCCGAGTGTGTTGGTGAAGGGAGAAGAACAATGTAATAGGGAGAGCTAGACCTTTGTGGGGGGCTCTTGTGTGGGGTGGTGGGGTTCTGGGGTGGGGTGGTGGGGGCCCTTGTGTGGGAGTGGTGGGGTTCCAGGTGTGGGGGCCGTGGGGGTGGTGGGGGCTCTTGTGTGGGGTGGGGGTCTTGTGGGAGTGGTGGGGGCTGTTGTGAGTAGTGGGGGTCCCTGTGGGGTGGTGGGAGTCCCTGTGTGGGGGTGGTGGGGGGTCCCTTGTGTGAGTGGTGGGCCTGTGGGGGCCTGTGTGTGGGGCTCTTGTGTGGGTGGTGGGGTCTGTTCTGGCAGTGGGGCCCTGTGTGTGGGGAGTTCTTGTGTGTGGGGGTTCTTGTGAGTGGTCCGGCTCTGTGTGTGTGTCTGTGGGGCCCTTGTGTGGTGGGTCGTTGTGTGGTGGTGGGGGCCTTGTGAGTAGGTTCTTGTGTGGGGTGGTGGGGTCCCTTGTGTGTCGTGGGAGAGGCCTTTGTGGCGCTGACCGTATTAGTTTAGTGAAGGAGCAAACAAAACCATAAAGTAGGTGGAAGGGCAACTCGAGTCAGCAGCTGTGAGGAGAGACAAGGAGAGACCAGGGGAGATAAAGAGGACGGGAGAGATAAAGAGAGACAGAGATAAAGAGAGACAGAGAGAGGGATAGAAAAGGAACAGAGAGATAAAGAGAGACAGGGAGAGACAAGAGAAGGAAAGAGATGGAGAGGAGCAGGGAGAGACAAGAGGCAGGGAGAGAGAGAGGGGACAGGGAGAGACAAGAGAGACAGGGAGAGAAAGAGACGGGAGATAGAGAGGGACAAAGAGAGACAGGAGAGAAAGAGACGGAACAGGGAGAGGTAGTTAGTAGTGAGGGAGGGTAGTGGTGGAGGTTAGTGGTGGTTGTAATAGTAGTGGTAGTAGTTGCTAGTAGTAGTGGTGGTGGTAGTGGCAGAGGTGGACCCAGTATGTATGTATGTATGTATGCATGTATGTATGTGTGTATGTATGTATGTATGTATGTATGTATGTATCTGTCTAGCCACCTATCTATCTGCCTACCTTACTCGCCTGTCTGCCTGTTTGTCTGTCTGTCAGTCTGCCTGTCCATCTGTCTGTCTGTCCTTCACAAACATTGTAATTAATATTGTTATCAAGGGAAGGAAGTGTGTTTATTGTGATGATGTCAGATGTATATAAATTAAGGTGACATTACGTGTACCCTGATAAAGTTATATTTTACCTGTATTTGGTTAGGTTAGGCAGGGTAGGCAGGGCAGGGCAGGGTCATGGTGGGTAGGGCTGGGCTGGGCTGGCTGGCTGGGCTGGGTAGGCAGGGCAGGGCTGGGCTGGGTAGTGGCTGGGCTGGGCTGGGTAGGGTGCAGGGCAGGGCAGTGGCTGGGCTGGGCAGGCAGGGCAGGGCAGTGGCTGGGCTGGGCTGGGCAGGCAGGGCAGGCTGGGCTGGGCTGGGCAGGCAGGGGCAGGGCAGGGCAGTGGGGCAGGCAGGGCAGGGCAGTGGGCAGGAGCAGGCAGGCAGGCAGTGGCTGGCTGGGCAGGCAGGCAGGGCAGTGGCTGGGCTGGGCAGGGCAGGGCAGGCAGGGCGTGGGCAGGGCAGGGCAGGGCAGTGGCAGGGCTGGGCAGGCAGGGCAGGGCAGGGCAGGGCAGGGGCAGGGCAGGGCAGGGCTGGGCTGGGCAGGGCAGGGTAGGGCAGGAGGGGCTGGGCGGGGCAGGCAGGGCCAGGCGGGCAGGGCTGGGCAGGGCAGGCAGGGCAGTGGCTGGGCTGGGCAGGGCAGGGCAGGGCAGTGGCTGGGCTGGGTAGGCAGGGCAGGGGTAGTGGCAGGGTTGCAGGGTAGGGCAGGCAGTGGCTGGGCTGGTGCAGGGCAGGGCAGGGGCAGCAGGGCTGGGCTGGGTAGGCAGGCAGGGTGGAGGGCAGGGCTGGGCTGGGCAGGCAGGGCAGTGGCAGGGCAGTGGCTGGGCTGCAGCAGGGCAGTGGCTGGGCTGGGCAGGGCAGGGCAGGGCAGGGCTGGGCTGGGCAGGCAGGGTGCAGGGCAGGGCTGGGCTGGGCAGTGGCAGGGCAGGCAGGGCTGCATGGGCAGGGCAGGGCAGGGCAGGGCTGGGCAGGGCTGGGCAGGGCAGGCAGGGCAGGGCAGGGCTGGGCAGCAGGGTGAGGCAGGCAGTGGCAGGGCAGCAGGCGGGCAGGCAGGGCAGGGCCAGCAGGGCAGGCAGGCAGGGGCAGGGCAGGGCAGGAGGCAGGCAGGGCAGTGGCTGGGCAGTGCAGGCAGGGCAGTGGCTGGGCAGGCAGGGCAGGCAGGGCAGGCAGTGGCAGCGGGCAGTGGCAGCTGGGCTGGGCAGGGCAGGCAGGGCAGTGGCTGGGCTGGGCAGGGCAGGGCAGGCAGGGCAGGCAGGCAGCAGGGCCATGGGCTGGGCAGGCAGGGCAGGGGCGTGGGGTAAAGTGGCTGGCAGGGCAGGGTGCAGGCAGGGCAGGGCAGGGCAGTGGCAGGGGCAGGGCAGGGCTGGGTCAGAGGCAGGCAGGGGGCAGCTGGGCAGGCAGGGCAGGGCAGGCAGGGCAGCGGCAGGGCAGGGCAGGGCAGGGCAGGGCAGGGCAGGCAGGGCGGCAGGCTGGGCAGGGCAGGGCAGGGTGCAGCGGGCAGGGCTGGGCTGGGCAGGGCTGGCAGGGCAGGGCAGGGCAGGGCAGGGCAGGGGCCGGGCTGGGCAGGCAGGGCAGGGCAGGGCTGGCAGGGCTGCAGGGCAGGCAGGGTGGGCAGGGCTGGGCAGGGCCAGCTGGCTGGGCAGGGCAGGGCAGGGCAGGGCTGGGCTGGGCAGGGCAGGGCAGTGGCGGCAGTAGGGCAGGGCAGTGGCTGGGCAGGGCAGGCAGGGCAGGCAGGGCAGGGCCTGGGCCACAGGGCAGGGCTGGCAGGGCAGGCAGGGCAGGGCAGAGCGGGGCAGGGCAGGGCAGGGCTGGGCTGGGCTGGGCAGGCAGGGCAGGGCAGTGGCTGGCTGGGCAGGGCAGGGTGAGGCAGAGTGGGGCAGGGCAGGGTGCAGGGCTGGGCTGGGCTGGGCTGGGCTGGGCAGGCAGGGCTGGGCAGGGGTAGGCAGGGCAGGGGCAGGTAGGGCAGGGCAGGCAGGGCTGGGCTGGGCAAGGGCAGGGCAGGGCAGGGCTGGGCAGGGCTGGGCAGGCAGGGCTGGCAGGGCAGTGGCTGGGCTGGGCTGGGTGCAGGGCAGGCAGGCAGGGCAGGGCAGTGGCTGGGCTGGGCTGGGCTGGGCAGGGCTGGTGCAGGCAGGGCAGGGCAGGGCAGGGCTGGGCTGGGCAGCTGGGCTGGGCTGGGCTGGGCTGGGCTGCAGGGCAGGGCAGGGCAGGGCTGGGTCAGCAGGGCAGGCAGGGCTGGGCTGGGCTGGGCAGGGTAGGGGTAGTGGTTGGGTTGCAGGCAGTGGTGGGTAGGATTGGGGGGTTGGGTTGTTGGTGGGTTGGAGGTTAGGTTGGGTTAGTTAAACAATTGGGTTAATTATTGAAGACAATTAACTCAGTGTTTATATGAGGTTCCTCCAATATAATTACCACATTGGTTCTAATTATCACTATGAGGTAATTGTCCAATAACTAATGAGAATATTAACGTATAAACTATAACTGAAATGTGTTCTGATATTGTTACTGGTATTATTATTATTATTAGCAGTAGTAGTGGTAGCATTCTGTCTGTCTGTCTGTCTGTCTTTTTCCCCTAGTTCCCCATCAAGACACCTTGTATACAAATCACTACCTCATCTCACTCACACCCCATACCACCCCACTCACCAACTCCTCTCTCTACCTCACCTTCTCTATCTTCCAGCTACGGGTATGAGCCATCAGTGACCACCTGTACAATCAACTGGCAACAGAACGACGCCAGCTACAAGTGGTACATCATGACGGTGTTTGTGGTGGTGTTACGGTGCCTCTGATCCTCATGTGCAGCTGTTACTACCAGGCCTCCCGCTTCCTTCACCAGGCTCACGAGGTCGGCGAGTCCATCTATGCTTATGACTGGCCAATGAGAAGAACGTCACTGCAAGGTGAGGTGTGGGGTGGTGTGTGTGTGTGGGGAGTGAGGTGGGGGGTGGTGGTGTGTATGTGTGTGTGTGTGTGTGTGTGTGTGTTGATAGTAAACAGCTAACAC